TAAATGCATAAATATACATGTTATTTTATATATTTTTCATATATTATTCCTTAAATCTAGAACAACCTAATTCATATCCTATTCACTCTCATCTACAGTGTCATTGACAAGTTTTTACTGCAAACATTTCTTTCTTTCTTTTTTTTTTTTTTTGAGATGAGGTTTCACTCCTGTTGCCTAGGCTGGAGTGCAATGGCGTGATCTTGGCTCACCGCAACCTCCGCCTCCCAGGTTCAAGCGATTGTCCTGCTTCAGCCTCCTGAGTAGTTGGGATTATAGGCATGTGCCACCAAGCCTGGCTAATTTTGTATTTTTAGTAGAGACGAGGTTTCTGCATGTTGGTCAGGCTGGTCTCGAACTCCTGACATTAGGTGATCCAACCACCTTGGCCTCCCAAAGTGCTGGGATTACAGGTGTGAGCCACCGCACCTGGCCTACTACAAACATTTCTTGTTTACCTATTGGTCTCCCCTATGTCTTGGGTCAGAGGGTGCGTCTTAGGTTATCTTTCTATGCTCTCTCTTCATACATACCAGAAAGTAAAAGTCACTTAAATATTTGTCAAACTCAACTGACGTGATTAATGTTACCTTCTAGGCAAAGGACCTAAACACACAGATCAGATACAAGCTCTGATCGTAATTGCACAGAAGAGCTCATTTCAGAGCCATAGATACCTTCGCTCCATAAATTCTTTTGCTTAAAATGGGAGGTACTATCGCATCAGTTTGGATAACAGTTGAGGCAGAGGCTAATTTTTTAAAATTCTATTTTGCCAGACTTCAGAAAACACAATTTAGTGTTGAATAGCTGGTCTCAGACGGGGATGCTCCCTGACTAAAAATAAAGTAGTGGAAAGGGAGGGTGGAATCACTATTACTTAGTTATTTACCTATTGGCAGGACACTATGCCAGTGATTTTGTATCTATTAACTCTTTTCATCCTCAAAATAAATATGTGAGGCGTACTGTCATTTACACGTTACAGATAAGTAACCTGAGGTTCAGAAAATTAAACAAGTTGTCCAAGATTACACAGCAGGACTGAAATCTGATAAATCCCCTATGCCACAAATCCAAACACCATGTTGCCCGCGTTTCCCCAGCACCATGTTGTCTCTGCCCACTGTGTGGTAGTTTCGTTCTTGGAATCACCTTCCTGTACATAATGGATCATATACCTATTTTGCTATCTTTGCATCTTTAGCATTTGGTTCTTTTATGACCATTGTGGAATATTTTCTGTAACTCACACATTCTTTTAGAGTTCAGAGCCTACAGGACTATGGAACCTAATAAAGTCTAGCACAAACCCGTGAATGCCACAAAGTGTCACACACATGCCAATCAAGTCCACGGGCCTGCTATAAAGAAGTGCCCCTTTCAATGAGCTACCTGGAAAGGCGCGCCTACAGTTGCCAGGGTGGACCGATCGACTGGCATTGAGCACTGATTAGGAAGTAGTTCTGGATTCAAACTTTCGCATTTCCTCTCAAGGATTTCTCATTTTCTCAGGCAAAACAAAACAAAACCCAAACAAACAGAAAAACACAAAAATAGATGGAGTAGGCATCCAGGAAAAGTGGGAGTAATAAAGGGAAATGCACTGCTGGATTACACTGTGAATGGCCGGAGCACGGGCCGTGCCATGCCCCAGGACTGGACAGAGAACAATCTAGTTAAAAGCACAGAAAGAACATCTATCGTCCTTTAGGGAGGGTTGTTTTAGAGAGCACACTTACCGAAACACTCAGAAGTCTATTCCACAGAAAAAACTGTGTTCAATTCTGTTCCAGCATCACTGCTGTGACCACTGAGGTGAAGGGCAGAGGAGGGAAAGGCTGTCATAGAACCAAAGACCACATTCAAAAAATAATTACTTGATCCACTGACTTAATTCCAACCAGGAAAAGCACCAGGAAAGACATTTAGTGATTCACAAGCTCAGTTGAGTAGAAACTTAAAGATGGCAATGATGTAGCTAGCCCCCAAGGTCAAAAGTGGAAAATGCTTGCTATGGGCAAGGCAGAGGGTGCTTCGAGAAGCTTCACCTCCGGGACTTGCTGGGCACTCCCAAGACAAGGGTGAGCAGAGCTCTGTCTCCAACCAGGGAACAGTCAGTCTGTGGATCTTCCAATTACTGTGGATAGTCTCTAGTTTGACACCCTGTCATTTGTCTCTGTCACTAGTGACCTTTGGAGTAAAATGCTCATTCAATTTTATGACTAGGAGAGGCTCCAGAGATGTATCTAATCCACCCCCCCCCCCATTTTACTGATGAAGCTTCTCAGACATAGACAGATGAAGGGAATCCAATTTTTCAACTTTTATGAGAACATGAAGTACAATAACAGAAAAGATATTCTGGATGGTTCGCGGTCGCGGTATATTTGCATACTCGACTGGGTTCACCCCACGAGTACACCTGTATTTGTCAGAGCATGTGTTCCAATATGGGATTTGGAAAAATATGATCAGTTGATGGCTCAGAAAACAATGTTTGAAAAAATAAAATGTTCAGAAAGTCGGGTTTGGCATTTGCACGCATGCTGAGGTACACAAGCTAGGGAAAAAAAGAGAATAGAAACATGTCCTATTCCTTTTCTCATTTCTTAACTTTCATGGAGACGTGTGTTTTGAGGGGGAAATTGTGCTCATCTGGAGAGCCCACAAGAGCTTTTCTTTTTTCTTTTCCTTTTTGTTTTTGTTTTTATTTGTGTTTCGTTTGTTTGTTTTGAGACAGAGTCTTGCTCTGTTTCCCAGGCTGGAGTGCAGTGGCCTGATCTGGGTTCCCTGCAACCTCCGCCTCCCTAGGTTCAAGCGATTCTCCTGCCTCTGCTTCTCACGTAGCTGGATTTAGAGAAGTGTACCACCACGCCCGGTTAATTTTTATATTTTTATTAGAGACAGGGTTTCACCATGTTGGCCAGGCTGGTCTCGAATTCCTGGCCTCCTGTGATCTGCCCGCCATGGCCTCCCAAAGGGCTGGGATCACAGGTGTTAACTACGGTGCCCAGCCCCACATGAGCTATTGATAAAGGTAACAACAGAAAATAATACAGATGGTGAAGAAGGGGCAAGAAGTGCATGTGTATAGAACAAAGTGAATTAGAAGGTAGCACGTCACCTAGAATTTTTATGACTATAACAGCTTAAGAGTGCTCTTTGAAAAACTGAATTAAATATATTATATCCATATATATTATAATACATGTATTATACGTATTATATAATACATGGATATATTATAATTGCATATTATAATACATATCCATGTAGCTTCACTAGTGGCTGGGGCTGGGAGAATGAGCATGAGAGATTCTGGGGAAGTAGAGAGAAGATAATGAAGGAGACTGCTGCCCGAGGAGCCACGGTGGCGGCTGGGAGAGGGCATCTGGGACAGCAAATATCTAGGAGCCCCAGAAAAGAAGGACTGGTGGAGTGAGCTGCAGCTTGCATTCTCCTTCCTCCTGCAAGCTGCTTCCTCCACCCCGGAGGAGAGAGTTTCTCTGTCTTTCCCTGGGGTCAGACACCGGTGGAATTAATGAAGCAGGAGGGAAAGAAAATGGCAAGGAGATCTCAGGAGCCCTCTTTGTGTAAGGAGAGTAAAATCCACCATAAACTCAGGAAACTCATAAAAAGAGCAGAAGAGAATAGCAAGCCTTTGTATTAGGCACAGCTCTTTGTTTACACTGAAAATAGAAACAGGCAAACCAAATTGCCTGCAGGTTGCCTTTCTCCTTCCTTATTCTTTCTTCCTTCATGCAGTGCTTAACTATGCAAACATCCGGATCCTAAAAGGACATTAAATATTGCTTGATGGAGTCTTAAAATCCAGGAGCAACCCAGAAATGTTTACAAAGGGTGCCTGAGAAACTCCTAATTCTAAAAGCATTGCAAGTTTAGTATTCCTCAGATAAAGGTAACCAGAGCCTGTAAACCTTTCCTAAACTAAGTAAAACATTACTTGATCCTAAAATGTGAGCAGTGATTTGGGGATGTTTTCTTGTATTATTGGCATTATACACAACATTAGAGATAAAATTCATTACTAGTAAGGAAAAATCTTTTTTTTAGCATTACCTTATCCCCACTTACGCAATTAAAAGGGGGTGTGTGTTAACAGAGCTTGTTCAGATAATGAGCTTGCTCACTACTTAAACTTTCTGTCCCCCTGTATCTTTTCATTCACTGGGCTGTTATCTGCATCACGTACCTGGGGGCTTTTTAAAAATGAATGTTGCCTCCTCCATTTTGCAGAAAGCCATGAGAACGGCAGCACTGGAACACCTGCATTATGTCAATAAAGGGACTGAGAGGAGACTGAAGCTCAAGAGCTAGCAAATTTGAATTTGTACATTCAGTTATTGCCTGTGTGCCCCCTGTCCCCAAACTCATATTCATCTTCTGAAAAAGGCAGCTGAGAACCCAGCACTTTTGACTGCTTTTTGTTTTCTTTTGTATTTCTCTTTTCCATTAGAGGTTCAATGTGAGGGAATTATGACTCTTCTAGTCACTGTGTGTGCGTGTGAGCAGGGGGTATTATTTACTGTGCACTAAAATATAATTTTTTGTGTATGTGTTTCTCCCCAGATAGCTACATTATTGGCTACTTGACAAGCAACCCCGTATACTTACTATCTTCAAAATCCAAGCAGATAGCAAAAAGCTCACCACAGAGCAGAAAATGAATGGATTGCTTTTTTAAAAAAAGCGAATGACCGATTGAATGAATGAATGAATGAATGAATGAATGAATGAATACATTTATTGTCTCTAGTTGAACCTGCTTGTACGCCCTACATAGTGCCAATAGATCCTACAAATTCGCATTCCATATTGGCAACTCCACCTGCTATTGTTTGATTTGGGAGCTGTTCTATTTACACAATGAAAATATACTGAAATATAAACAGAAATATCTTACTTCTGTATATTTTGGGTTGTAACCATTCACCACGTATTACAACAGTCTTGTCTTTTCTTCCTGACTCCTCCAGGACAGAACATTATTCCATCCTGTGAGCAACAGCTGCATGGATTGCAACCCCGCAGAGAAGAAGATTTTCATGGCCAGATGTGACCCTCTCTCTGAGACTCAGCAGTGGATTTTTGAACACATTAATATGACTGTTTTAGAAAAATTTAACCACCATGCCAGCTCCTAGAAAGAAGGAAGGAAGAAAGAGTGATTACCTACAGATTATAAATGAAATTTTAGCCAGCATCTGGGTCGAAGGAGTCAGGAATAACATTTCCTCGATCCAGGAAGGCTGGTTTAAAGATTTGTAAATGCCATGTCAAAGTAGGTTGTTTTGAAGAACTTCCTGCATCTGAAGAACTTGGCTGAGAATCTCACCAGCTGCTTCTGAGAACTCGAGACTAGCAGTTCCCTTGCTGGCCAAGGGCAAAGATAATTTAGGGACTTTTCAAAACAACTGCTGAGCTAATAAATCCTAGCATTTCTCAGGTCAAATCCTGCAGTAGTGAGTAGCTATGAATGGATCCTATTAACTGGGTGGGAGGGGGGTGAAAACGGAGTGCATGACTGCTCTGACAACCTGAGGATATCACAGGTTTAGAACTAGCCACGCTTAAAGGGTGAGCTGTACTCTTTGGTGCCATTCTCTGACTAAGAATGGGTTAAGCAGGTTTAACCCTTAAAAGTGCTGCAGATGATTTCAGAGTGCTCATACTATTCTGTTTTGTTTTGTTTTTTTAAGTGAGGGTGCAATATCTAACGTAAGACTTCAATTACATAATGAAATGGACATCCAGTGTTCCCATTCTTTCGTTTACATTTGCCTTTTTGTTTTTCAGAGCAAAGGTTTTTTATTGTTTGTGGAAGTTCACCTCCTTGAATCCACTGGATTTCTAATTCAGTGCCCTTCTATGAATCCAGTTAAAAACAAAAACAAAAACAAAAATCTGTGCTCTCAAGTTACTCCAAAGAAAGATCTCACAGAAGCAGCAAAACCATATAAGATTTAGGAGAGGGACTTCCCTGGGAAATCTATTTTTACTTTTCTATTATTTTTAAAACCTTAAAAGTCTGATATTTGTCCAGTCATAATTTTTATTAAGCAAGGAAATGGAGTGAGGTTGATGTAATTAGTTTAGGAGATTTTTAAACCCAAATAAATCTACACTCCAAGTGATATGTGAAAATGGCTTGGTTCACTTCAATTCTGTTTAATCAGTGGTGGGAGCATACAAGTGGTTTCATTTGTTCGTTTGTTTATTTGGGTTTTGCTTTTGTTTTTTATTTTTTTCTCGTTGTCGTTCTTTTGTAGTGTTGATATTAATGACGTTCTTTTATTTGGAAGCTCGCAAAAGGAATTACCATTAATAAAGTGTTTCTGACACCATTTTCTGTTAATGGGACGATATTTCAGGGATAAAGAAAGGAATGCTCTGAAAACTAAATGGAACAATTAATCCTTAAAACAATTTTTTACTGTTCAATAATATCAGGATGGGGGAAGAATATACAGGTATCAAGGTGGTTCAAAAAAAAAAGAATCATGTTTATTATACATCTCTTAAGTTTTTTCAGTATAAAAGTGTTTTAACTTTGCTTTCTTTTTGTTTTTTGTTTGAAGTTGGTTTTCCTGTTAATAAAAATTTATATAACATCTTGGATCTAGAGCATTAAATTTTAGAACTGGGAAGACTCCTAGGATCCAATCCCTTTGCTTCTTCAGATGAATAATAAAAGCCCAGAAAGGCCCAACTCCTGGTCAGGCTGATGTCTTCTGGGCCGTATTCCTGTGTTTTTAATCTTGTGCTGTGTTGCCTCACTCTGTTACCAAAGCTGCTTCTGGATTTTACTGTGATTTAACTTGAGATTTTCAATCACTAGATGAGAAAACTATGCCTCCCTGGGGATGCCCACTAAAGTAATATCCACATTCAGAAACTGTAATACAGTACATGAAGCCTCTTCTTGTACATGTTCATGATTTTGTTATCTCCCTGAAACCTAATGAAAATGTCTAGTTAAACTACCAGGCCAATAGTTGAGGAAGAGTTATTCATTATCTTTACTGATTTTTCAAGCATTCTTTTGAAGAGCTATTTTTTTCTTTTTCTTTTTCTTTTTTTTTTTTAATTATACTTTAAGTTCTGGGATACATGTGGAGAATGTGCAGGTTTGTTACGTAAGTATACACATGCCATGGTGGTTTGCTGCACCCATCAAACCCTCATCTACATTAGGTATTTCTCCTAATGCTATCCTTCCCCTGGTCCCCTACCCATGACAGGCCCCAGTGTGTGATGTTCCCCCAGTGTTTGATGTTCCCCTCCCTGTGTCCATGTGCTCTCGTTGTTCAGTTCCCACTTATGAGTGCGAATACGTGGTGTTTGGTTTTCTGTTCCTGTGTTAGTTTGCTGAGAATGGTGGTTTCCAGCTTCATCCATGTCCCTGCAAAAGACATGAACTCATCCTTTTTTATGGCTGCATAGTATTCCATGGTATATATGTACCACATTTTCTTTATCCAGTCTATCATTGATGGACATTTGGATTGGTTTCAAGTCTTTGCTATTGTGAACAGTGCTGCAATAAACATATGTGTGCATGTGTCTTTAGTGTAGAATGATTTCTAATCCTTTGGGTATAGACCCAGTAATGGGATTGCTGGGTCAAATGGTATTTCTGATTCTAGATCCTTGAGGAATCGCCAGACTGTCTTCTACAATGGTTGAACTAATTTACACCCTGACCAACAGTGTAAAAGTGTTTCTATTTCTCCACATCCTCTCCAGCTTCTGTTGTTTCCTGACTTTTTAAGGATCGCCATTCTAACTGGTGTGAGATGGTATTGCATTGTGGTTTTGATTTGCATTTCTCTAATGACCAGTGATGATGAGCTTTTTTTCATATGTTTTTTGGCTGCATAAATGTCTTCTTTTGAGAAGTGTCTGTTCATATCCTTTGCCCAGTTTTTGAGGGGGTCTTTTTTTGTTGTAAATTTGTTTAAGTTCTTTGTAGATTCTGGATATTAGCCCTTTGTTAGATGGATAAATTGCAAAAATGTTCTCCCATTCTGTAGGTTGCCTGTTCACTTTGATGATAGTTCCTTTTGCTGTGGAGAAGCTCTTTAGTTTAATTAGATCCCATTTGTCAATTTTGGCTTTTGTTGCCATTGCTTTTGGTGTTTTAGTCATGAAATCTTTGCCCATGCCTATGTCCTGAATGGTATTGCCTAGGTTTTCTTCTAGGGTTTTTATGGTTTTAGGTCTTATGCTTAAGTTTTTAACACATCTTGAGTTAATTTTTGTACAAGGTGTAATGAAGGAGTCCAGTTTCAGTTTTCTGCATATGGCTACCCAATTTTCCCAACACCATTTATTAAATAGGGAATCCTTTCTCCATTGCTTGTTTTTGTCAGGTTTGTCAAAGATCAGATGGTTGTAGATGTGTGGTGTTATTTCTGAGGTCTCTGTTCTCTTCCATTGGTCTCTATATCTGTTTTGGTACCAGTACCATGCTGTTTTGGTTATTGTAGCCTTGTAGTATAGTTTGAAGTCAGGTAGCATGATGCCTCCAGCTTTGTTCTTTTGACTTAGGACTGTCTTGGCTATATGGGCTCTTTTTGGTTCCATGTGAAATTGAAAGTGGTTTTTTTCTAATTCTGTGAAGAAAGTCAATGGTAGCTTGATGGGAATAGCATTGAATCTATAAATTACTTTGGGCAGTATGGCCATTTTCATGATATTTATTCTTCCTATCCATGAGCAGGGAATGTTTTTCTATTTGTTTGCATCCTCTCTTATTTCCTTGAGCAGTGGTTTGTACTTCTCCTTGAAGAGGTCCTTCATGTCCCTTTGTAAGTTGTAGTCCTAGATATTTTATTCTCTTTGTAGTAATTGTGAATGGGAATTCACTCACGGTTTGGCTCTCTGTTTGTCTATTATTGGTGTATAGGAATGCTTGTGATTTTTGCACACTGATTTTGCGTCCTGAGACTTTGCTGAAGTTGTTTATCAGCTTAAGGAGTTTTTGGGCTGAGACAATGGAGTTTTCTAAACATACAATCATTTCATCTGCAAACAGAGATAATTTGGCTCCCTGTCTTCCTATTTGAATACCCTTTATTTATTTCTCTTGCCTGATTGCCCTGGCCAGAACTTCCAATAATTTGTTGAATAGGAGTGGTGAGAGAGCATCCTTGCCTTGTGCCAGTTTTCAAAAGGAATGCTTCCAACTTTTGCCCATTGAGTATGATATTGGCTGTGGGTTTGTCATAAATTTGAAGAGCTATTTTTTTAACCTTCTGTCACAGAGATATTTTGTATAGATCAAGAGATCTTGAAGCATTCAAGATGCATACTGGAGAAAATCAATAGTGAGAAATTAACCTGTGTGTTGAACAATTCCAGAGAGTGAATGAAGATTTATCTCAAGTGTTCAGAGAGCAATCTTGTTGTAGAATTAGATAAGCCAATAAAAATTCACATTATGTCATTAAACAACTGACTGCTATTTACAATTCTATCAAAGAGACAACCCTGGGTTCTGCACCCTGCAAAGCTCAGATTTGCAATGATCTTGTAGGATGCTATAATCATGGAAAGCTAGCCATAACATGTTTGGCTCTGTTCTTTGAGAAAGCCTGAATATATTGCATTGTTTTGGTGTGACACACAGAGGTCAACCAAGATTGGTCTCTTGATCTCTGAATAAAATAATGCAATATTTTGGGGCATATTCAAGGGTGGAGGGTGAGAAGAGGGAGAGGATCAAGAAAAATAACTTACAGGTACTGGGCTTAATACCTGGGTGATGAAATAATCTGTACAAGCAATCGCCATGATGCAAGTTTACTGATATAACAAACCTGCACATGCACTCCTGAACTTAAAATAAAAGTTTTTAAAAATTAGATTAAATTGTTTAAATGTAATATAAAAACTTAATTTTTTAAATTAAGGAACACTTGAGACATTAAGACCAAAATTAAAACTCCAAACTGTTAAATATGTGCAAATAGGAAACAAATAGAATGAAATGAAGCCTCGAGAATCTACCTCTAAGCCAAAGGACACAACATTGCCAATAAGCACATCTGAGGAGGCATTTCCACTCCACTGAAGGTTAAGACTCTGTTTACCTGAAGCACCACTACTACCATTCTGAAAAGCAAAAAACTACGTTTGTTGGTATGTTTATTTAACAAAGGGGACTGAACAATCCTCAGAAAGACTCTCTTTCCTGGAAATAACATGATTTGAAAATTGGGCAGTAGGCTGGGCACGTGGGTCACACCTGTAATCTCAGCACTTTGGGAGGCCGAGGCAGGCGGATCACGAGGTCAAGAGATCGAGGTCATCCTGGCCAACATGGTGAAACCCGTCTCTACTAAAAATACGAAAATAAGCTCGACATGGCGGTGCATACCTGTAGTCCCAGCTACTAGGGAGGCTGAGGCAGGAGAATCATTTGAGCCCAGGAGGCAGAGGTTGCAGTGAGCCGAGATCGTGCCACTGCACTCCAGCCTGGTGACAGAGCAAGACTCTGTCTCAAAATAATAATAATAATAAATAAAAATAAATTGGACAGTAGAGTACTGACCTACCCTTTTATCAGAATGGGAGGAAAAATCATAATCTGGCCTTGGAAATTGCTACTTCTCCATCATAAGACGTGGTTTTGCCAGAATAATTAATTTTAAAAATATTTTTTATGTACTTACAAAGAAAAAGCTCTGCTTTAAAGCAATCATGAACTAAATGTAGGACTTACACACACTTTTTTCAAGGCTGGATTAATACCCTGCCAATAGCAATGTATTGCCTTCTATGTCTACTGGTATTTACTTAAAAACATTAATATGATCAGATAACTGTTTTTAAAAGTATTCACTACATCAGAAGCCTAGGGAGTAATGCAAGTTCCAGAATTGCTTTATGAATTGATATCCTAAAACTTTATACAATAAATGAATAACAGAAAATGAAAATGGACTTACAAGCAATGAAAGAGTGTGTTAGGCCCGTTCTTCTCATGTTTCTTGGAAAATATGAAACCCATGCCAATACCTGACATCATTTCCTTTAGGAGCAATGTTTTAAAAGAAGATAGACAAATATAAAGAAGTAAATACCTACTAATATTTTGTGCTTCTTCCTCTCAGATGAAAAACTTTTATTTCAATCTTTTTATAACTATCTCCATAAGGAAATAGTGAGAAAAGAATGTTTTCTTGGAAAAATAAGCTCTATGGAGTTTACGGCTGACCCATCAAAAGAGTTAGTGCCCCAGGCACAGTGGCTCACGCCTATAATCCCAGCACTGTGGGAAGCCAAGGCGGGAGGATCATTTGAGCCTAGGAGTTCAAGACCAGCCTGGACAACATAATGAGACCTCGTCTCTATAAAACATTTTAAAAAATTAGCTGGGTGTCATAGCACATGCCTGTAATCACAGCTACTGGGGAGGCTGAGGTGGGAGGATCACTTGAGCCCAAGGGGTCGAGGCTGCAGTGAGCCATGATCACACCACTGCACTCCAGCCTAGGCGACAAAGTGAGATCCCGTCTTAAAAAAAAGAAAGAAAGAAATTCAATACACTTTGATTACAAAGCTGGCTATCCCGCAGTCATAAAGGGCCCCACCTGCCACTGTGGGACATTCCTGGCCCAGGATATCACACATCTAAGGACTCAGAAGAAAGTTGATGATAAGGCTATGCCAGCTGTGCCTGTGACTTCTTGTCTTACTGCAGAATCTGCCCCGGAACTAGGCAGTTCTCCTGACCTTCCCCTGAGGAAGAGTGCTAGGTTATATTTTTTCAGAATTTAGAATCATCCTAACAATATGACATTGTGAACATTGATTTATCCCTAAAAACTCATTTAGTAAAATGTCTTTAGGCTTGTTACCCTGGCAGGATTATGAGGCTGCAATGCGATTCCATAAACACATGCTGGAGATATGCTGGAAATAAGGCATTTCTTATAAATCATGAGAAAGAATACCTCAAAGGGAAAATATTTTTAAGTGATTCCCTATGATTCTGGAAGTACATATAAATGGAGATAAGTAAATTATATCTCTCAATATGGGGCACACTTCATTCTCTCCCTTCACCTCATCGACCAGTCCTGCTCCTGCCATCATTCCTCTCAGATGACAGCACCAACTGTAATTACTCTCCATGTGTGAAACGGTGGCTGAGGACACTGAAGCGTGACAAGTGGCCAGTCTTTCCCACACTGCCAACATTAGAAGATTGCTCTTTGATTTATGTCTATAGCCTTTGCTTGCAGAACTGGGAGCTGTTTGCAACTCTATTTGGTAGACTTGACATTGACCTGAAGCTTTTATTCATAGTCACTCATCTCTGAGCTTGACATACCAGACTGATGTGTCTGGTACTGCAGCCTCTCGGCAGACAACAGCTCAGGCACACGTTTGATGCTTCACTTCAGAGAAACCTGGAAACATTTCTTCCATCCCTGTTGCCTGAAGTTGCCTGCTTCTGCCTGAGGCACAATAGCTTCCTAGGCTTTCCGCAGGCCTCTGCTGTCCTTCTTTGCTCGTTCCAACGTGGTGATCCAACTGACCTCAGTACAGAAAGGCTGGTTATATTTCAGAATCTTTTTGCCGATGAGTTTATTCTGACTTTACTCACCTTGAGAGGGCTATTCATAACTAAACAGCTTAGATGCTGGTTTACCTATATTACTTTATGCCTATGCTTGTTGTCCTGTGTGATTATTAATAATGTCCCTTTTACTGTTTTTCTTTTAATTTTTATTTTTACTTTTATAATTTTTGAGAGGGAGTCTGGCTCTATCAAGCAGGCTGGAGCACAGTGGTGCGATCTTGGCTGACTATAGCCTCTGCCTCCCAGGTTCAAGCAATTCTTGTGCCTCAGCCTCCTGAGTAGCTGGAATTACAGGCATGTGCCACCACGCTTCACTAATTTTTGCATTTTTAGTAGAGATGGCGGGGGTGGGGGTCTCACCATGTTGGCTAGGCTGGTCTCAAACTCCTGACCCCAAGTGATCTACCTACCTCGGCTTCCTAAAGTGCTGGGATTACAGACCTGAGTCACTGCATGCCAGCCTGTTTTTATTTTTTAGAAACACGGTCTTGCTCTGTCTTCCAGGCTGGAGTGTAGTGGTGCAATGTTAGTTCACTGTAACCTCAAACTCCAGGGCTCAAGTGATCTTCTCGCCTTGGCTTCCCAAAGTGCTGGGATTACAGGTGCACACCACCACGCCTGGCCCCCTTTTACTCTTAAAAGTGTCCTAATTTTAATAACAAATTAAATACTCACCCTATTTATAGTCCACGTGCCTGTTTCTTATTCCTGTAGGAAAAGAAAACGTATTTTGCTTATTAAGGCTTACAGTCTACAAGAAATCAACTCGACTTACTCCTTCCCTTCAAACAGGACCAGACCAAAATCAGCTTCTTGATGACTGTGTATTGCATTCACATGGGTCTTTACAAGTTACTTAATGAAAGCTTTGTAATCAAGAGTTATATATCCACCTAAATCCTTTTGCTGAATGAAGTCTAATTTAAATGATTTTTTCATAATTTAAAAAATTTATTTGAAATCAATGCAGTCATTTTATATTTTTCCAAGCTCAGAACAGTGGATCTCCAACATGGCCTATTAACCACATTATTAATTCTCAATATTATGGTAAGGTATAGATAGATGATAGATAAATAGATAGATAGATAGATACATACATACATATACACATACATACATACATAGATACGTAGATACGTAGATACGTAGATAGATGGATGATCGATGGACATTCTATTTGAATTACTACTTTTGTTTTTCAAAGCAATTTTATGTGTATTGTCTCACTCCACACTTATAAAAACCTCTGCTGTCGATAATATTATAATCCTTATGAAAAAACTGAAGGACTCAGAGTGAAGGGGCTTGCAAGGGGCTAGCAAGTTAACAGCAGAATCAGGACTAGCTAGATTCAGGTCTTCTAATATGTAGGCCTCTGCTCCTTCCATTCTCAATGGTACTTTATACCTCACTACAGGGTCATTCACCCAGAGCAAAGCCAATATGAGTTGTATGGAGGTACCTCAAAATAGTAAAATCACTCATTCCTTGGAGACTTCTGTTTTTAACTGCTTAATTATGTTTGTTCTTCTCTGTACCTGTGTGTTTTTGTTGATTTTCCCACAAGCTTATTAAAGTAAGAAGTGAATCCAGGATTAGTCCTTCCTAATGAGATTTCCAAGGTACTTTTAAGAAAAGAAGTGATCAATTAAAGCTATTTGCATAGCTCTAGATGACAAATCTAAAAGCAAATACTGTGTTCTTGGTAATTATCAATGAGTTCAGTCCTCAGGGAGAGGAAAACAGTCATTAAGCAAAGAATTTGTGCTCACTTCGCAGTAAGACTCCAAGCCGACCTTCTTTTAATAGTCTTATTTCTGAAAAGTTGTCAGGCACATTTCTGAGCCATGTGAGACTCTCTGTCTGCACTGACGTGAATTCTCTCCGGCAGTTTTTCTCTTTTGAGGGTACAAGTTAAACATGTGTATTACTAGGCCTTTTGGTCTGTTGGGCTGCTATAACAAAATGTCATACACTGGGTAACTTAGAGATTATAGGAATGTATTTCTTACAGTTCTGGAGGCTGAGAAGTCTGAGATGGAGGAGCAGGCAGATTCAGTGCCCGCTGAGGCCCCGGTTTCTGATTTAAAGATCATGTCTTCTCACTGCGGCCTCACATAGTGAGAGGGGCAAGGGAGCTCTCAGGGGCCTCTTTCATAAGAGAACTAATCCCAATCATGAAATCTCTGCCTTCATGACCTCATCACTTCCTAAAAGGTCTCCCTCCTAATACCATCACCGTGGAGGTCAGGATTTCAATATATAAATTTGGGGGGTAGTGACACAAACATTTAGAATATAGCAGCGGGTCTTACCTCAAATCTATTGTATCAGAATTTCTGGGTTAGGCCACTAGATACAGAAAATTCTATTATCAAAGAGATAAATAATTGCTTTGTGCCCCAGTTCCTAATATCCTACCACTAGCAAATCCAAGTTAATTATCTGACATAGTTGCTCACAAGTAAACACTGCAGATGTCTGGAGGAATGATCAGTTGTAATCCGAAGCTATTATAAATTTGCATTGAGAGAAACATGCCTAAGAACATTTTATTTCAAGAATCCTCTGGCTTTTATTAGGTCAATGATTATTAAACCTTAGTGTTTAAACACCTGGAGGTAATGTTAAAACACAGAATACTGGGCCACCCCTTAGTGATTGAAATGAGGCTCAAGAATTTACATTTCCAACATATTGCTAGATGATGCTGATGGTCTGGAGTCCACGTTTTGAAAGCTATTGGTCCAGACCAGTGGTCTCACCACTTTGAAAATATCTTCTTAAAGATAATTTTGTTAATGTTGCATCTGTTTAGAAAGCATTAGTTATGCTTAAGAGGCATGCATTGGAAATGATAATAAAGCCCCAACACACTCGAAATTCAAACAAGTGTTAATTTAATCCAATAAATATTTATAACTGGAAGAAAGTTTCTTCCATAAATTATTTAAAGCAGGATCACAGAATTTGAAGACCAAAAATAGGCAGTATTATGGTATCATAGTAAATATCTTTTCAATCACTTAGATTTCTCAATTAAAGTATAACAAATACATCAAGACCCCTACTTTAAGTGCCTGGTATTGAGTCTCACATTAATAATTTGATATTATTGTCCCTTTCTCTACATTCTTAGTGAACTTCATTCTACTGTAGAATAGAAGTGAAAATCAAAAGAAGGCATAGCATGGTGAACTGATTTACTCAACATTGTTTTTCAGTGTATTAGTCCTTCTGCCCCTAAACCATGGTTTTTCTCAAGTTTTGTCTTGGGGAAGGAAACATTAATTTCTGATGGCAAATAACCAGCCAACATCATTTCAAATACATTGTGTAAATACAGTTGAGCTATGGTTCCCCCCATCTTTGAAAAAATACTACAAGTTTAATTAAAAGTCTTTTAAGTGTAACAATATCTCACTATGCTCAACTCAGTTCACTAACTTTGTTAGAAAAAAGTTACAGAAGGTAAGGAAAAGCTTAGAATTTCTGCTGTGTTTTAACTGTGGTTCTCTCAGATTTGTAACTTTCTTTTCATTGAAAATAAACACTAAGACCTTCTTTAAAGGTCATTTCTACCTCATCCTCTGTCTTCTGAAATAAAAGTTAATTTAATTTTTTTCTTTTCAGTTTATTTAAATTTCAGCCTCTAATTGCACACAGAGTAAATCCTCCACACTATTTTTTCCAAATATTTTTCTGTTATTTTTGTGTATACTAAGGACGCATAAAAGAGAATGTATGGGAAAGGGTGTTTCACTTTACCCATGTTTGCTATTCAAATCTCTACCACCCAAAAAATTGTTTGTTATGGAATTTATAGTGTGGTTTTGCACTGATAAACCAAGCCACGTGTTCAGATTTTATGGTGAAAAAAAATGCAGTAGACGCAAAATATCCTATTAGGGTCAAAACCTAGACAGTGCATCTCAAATCAAAAGGATAAAATTATATGATCAGGACTTTCAATTTTTGTTAAAGCTAAAGGGGGTATTGAGGGTCTGTCTAACACTCCCTATTCTAGTAAAGAATGGATGAAAGGAGGTGGGAAAGTGTGTACGGGTGGGGTTGGAAGAGAGAAAGAAACAGTCATGCTTTATTGCTTAAGACAATTTTTTTTAATGTCCTAGAGGAAGCAGCAGGGAAGTGTCAGAGTGACTGAGATGTCAAAGAAATAATCTCACAAAAGAAATACTGCATTTGAAGCAAGGAGCCACTTCTCATTAATGTCTACCCACTAGCAAATGGTTGGGGTCAGAAACACGTACATTCTCCAAACTGCCTTCAGTCAGAAGACAAGGATTTATCAAAAAAAAAAAAAACAAAAAAAAACAAAAAAAAAAACAAAGGAGCTCAAACAAGTATTAAACAACTATGCAGAGTCAGTCATTGAAATGCTTAAAATAAAACAATCTTTGGGGCAATTCATCTGGATAATAAATGCCTCTGCTTGAAAAAGGGCCTGGAGTTGAGGTTCTTTTATTGTGAACGACAGGAAGGACTTAACTGGAGGAAAGCTAATGACCTTGTTTCTACATTCCTCAGACATCAGTCGTCTGCCAGAAAATCGCCTATGGGGTTGAGGCAGTGACAGTTTAAAATGGCCAGGGAGAAAGTCTACAGAAAAAATGAGCTGCAGCTTCAGTGGCAGTTTCTAAAAATGTTGGTGAATATTTCCGCTATAGAGCAAAGCAATACACATTGCACTATCTGCTACCAGAGCTAAGCCGCTGGCCAAGATGCTAAGCTCTTTGAGAAATTATTCTCTCTGTTTTAAAAAATTCTTTTCTATTTCCATCAACCCCGAGTAAACTTCCTCCAAGTAAGTTAAAACATCAGATGAGTGAAATTCCTTTGGTAAAAAAATCAAAGCATCTTTCTTGTTGGAGTAAAGAAAATGTTAGAACAGCAAAATCCCCAATCTTCCCTCGTATCATCCTTTGTGTGTCTCTTCTCCCAAACTAGGATAAAACTGTTTCCGACAACATCAGGAGCTTGGTCTTTTGCTCTGAGGGCGCAACATTCTCTCTAGATTTATTTCAATAAATGTTTGTTGAGTACCAACAAGAGTGAGTTTTTGCATTAGACTAAAAAGTATACGCAACTAGGGAAAAAAGACTGGTTAGTTGTCAAAAAACGACTGCTACAGTCTTCCTTTCCCATTTGAAATAGGACAAATATTCAGTCCCTCTAGGCCTTCTTATAATTGTGTGAAATATGATAATAAACATGAAATTGCTTCATAACTTGCAAAGCAAAATGTAAATGAGAGTTTGGTATTTAATGAAACCCTGTCCTCCAGCAGCGTATAGTCTAGCAAAGTGCTTCTTAGGTAGGGTAGCCATATAATCTATTGTGCAAACCAGATAATTTTTTAGGGGGAAATGAGGTGTTATTTGTAATCACAGAGGAAACGCAGATGAAAATCAGGACTGATTTTCTTCTTAAAGACATTGAACAAGATACTCATGGACAATATGAAATATTAATCCAGAGTCAACATGTAGGATCCAGAGACAACATGTAGGGGCTCACAAAGTAGGTTTGGGTTTGAGTACTTGGGTTACTTATTGAAAAGTCCCAGGCCAGGCATGGTGGCTCACACCTGTAATCCCAGTACTTTGGGAGGCCGAGGCAGGCAGATCACCTGACAGTTGTTCGAGACCAGCCTGGCCAACATGGTGAAATTCCGTCTCTACTAAAAATACAAAAATTAGCCAGGCATGGTGGCAGGCACCTGTAATCCCAGCTGCCTGGGAGTCTAAGGCAGGAGAATCACTTGAACCTTGGAGGCAGAGGCTGCAGTGAGTTGAGATCACACCATTGCACTGCAGTCTGGGCAACAAGAGTGAAATTCTGTCTCAAGAAAGAATGAAAGAAAGAAAGAAAGAGAGAGAGAGAAGGAAGGAAGGAAGGGAAGGGAAGGAAGGAAGGAAGGAAGGAAGGAAGGAAGGAAGGAAGGAAGGAAAGAGAGAGAAAGAAAAGAAAGAAAGAAAGAAGAAAGAAAGAAAGAAAGAAAGAAAGAAAGAAAGAAAGAAAGAAAGAAGATCCTTAGAATCATTTTAGGCTATGTGGTTTCTATTTTGCTATTTTTTTAAGTTTAGCAGGCATGAACTTTGCCTAAAGTAAAATTGTTTGTGTGCTATTATGGCTAGATTATAATTCCTTAGAAATCATTTAGGCTATGTGGTTCTATTTTGCTATTTTTAAGTTTGAGCATGAAGCTTTACCTAAAGTAAAATTGTTTGTGTGCTATTATAGCTAGATTATAATATCTAGGCTATTCACTGCTTGAAAATGTCCCTACAACCTTTATTCATCAATCATGGTATCAAAATAACATCATAACAACCAACTTAATTTAGAGTATATAAATAACATATAACGAAGGTGCTTTAAAAAGGAAATACAGTCTTCTACTCTGTTTTGATATGCAATTATATACACTTAATTAAAAAGTAAAGAAAAAGTGAAAGTAGAATTCACAAAACAATTGAATTGTCAAACACCTTCCACAATATTAAAATTGTTATTTTGTAATTTGCTTTATGTATATTGCCAATAAAATTGTGTTTCACGTGATGAATGAGGATTTTGGAAGGAGACTGCTGTCAGGGAATTTAGCAATAAAACAAAGCAGTGAAGAAGACATTAGCTTTTTATTGCTAATTTACTTCCTTGGTTTTGCATTGCACCGGGGTAATTCCTCTATCAAAGTGTGGTAATAATGTCTGATAGACTTACCTGATAAATGTGCCCCATCTTCAGAATGTAGGATAACCTGTGTTTGTTCAATTTTACTGCATCCTGAGAGAAATAAAATTGGGGAAAAGCTGCTATGAAATGAAGCTATTTTCTACAGAGTTTGTTCTTGACAAGCTGTATTGCAGCCCCAGCCACAATAAGGAGACAATGACTCATCTGGTATATAGCAAAACAATGAAAATAAAATAAACAAACAAAAACAAATATAAAGTTCCTAAATGCTATTCCAGCAATAGATCTGTAAAGAGATATCAGTTAATCTAAAATATGTATATGTTAGATGCTTAACTTTTTTTTGTTGGATGGATGAACGAATGGCAGGAATAATGCCTACTTCAATGCACTACTTTCAATATTTCCCATAGTTCAACCTATAAAATAGAAGGCAGAGAGAGAAAGAGCTAGATAAAATAAGAGGGAGAATGAGAGAGGAAGAAAAGTAACCGAGAGTAAATGAAAATCTTCACTCAAAATCATAAGGAATGTATCTTAACTGAATATTTTGATTGATGTGAAGCATTGTTTTAGAATCGCTGCTCCAAGGAAAAAATTGAGGCATGAGGAAAATATACCCTATTGGGCAGTGGGCAGGAAAAAAAAAAAAATCTCTGTCAAAGAGCACAAATCTTATTGACAATGGAACTTTAATGACCCTAAGCTGCTTTAACTCCCATGTAGTTCCCCTATTGGAAGAAGATTATGAAAGACTGCTCTCCTCTCTCCCAGCACACACTGATGTTGTTACCCCATTCTGAATGAGTATGGTAATGGCATTCACTAGGGATTATCAACATTTAGAGAAAAGAGTCTGAGAAAAAGAAAAAAAGATCCAATACAAGCTGAGAAGAATACAACTTATCTATGGAGCTTCTGTGGATGGAAATGGCAAGTATAGATATTAATATATTACATGAGTCACTCGTGGTAGAGATTCACCTTAATGGCTTAGAACTCAATAAAGTTGAGGCAGAGGGACCCATTGTATAATAGTTTTAAGACCCTTCGCTACTAATGGAATAAGCTCTAACCCTTTCCAAAAGAGCCCCAGAGCACCAGAATCACGGGGAGACAAAAAATAGTGGAAACTATGTATTTTTTCCCCGTATACTCGCATTTATCCACTTATGAGCAGGAATCTGTGATTTGAAAGCTTTCCAGAGTGACCTTGATTTCTAAAACTAATTAAGCAACAAGAAATGCATGAAATTGAGAAAGGAGACAAGTCTAAGGTGAACATCGGGCTATAATACAATCATAAAAGGCTTCAGAAATAACCGAAGAAGGATGACTGTTCTTGACCTATAACTTTACCTCATTTTGCTTGTACTGCTGAATCACATAAATGGAAAATAAGCAAAAGCAGTGGTTGTTGTAATTACTTTCATAATAGTGATGATTTTGACCTGATGTGAATTAATATTCTTAAACTTCTTCATGGTACATTGCATTTGGCCAATTTTTCTTATTCTAAATCACCACAAAAGAACAAGGCTTACCATACATCTTGGCAAAGCTGTTTTTGGTTTTTGTTTCTAATTCCTAAGGTCATCAACTCTAATCTTACAGAAGTTAAGCTTTGTTCTAATTGGCTATATAATCAGGGGTAAGTAACCTAATTTCTATTATTTAGGGCACTTATTCCTACACTGCACTGTACATTTTTCCTTACAAGTAGAAAATTATGTTATTTTGTAATAATAATAAAGTCAAAAAGGGTGTCCATGTTAAGCTATAAGAATTCAATCTGGAGAACATAGAGCATATTTTCCCTCACTTGGAGGGCTAGGGTAAGAGTAATTATTGGCAATGTTAGACTGAACAAACAGTACACTCCGTAAAAAATGAGATGGCCAACAACACTATTAATTGCATAAGATACTAGCTCATTCATTCATCAAACGTTTATTGGTTGACCCTAATCATGCAAGTTTACAAAAACCTGCAATACAGCTTCATGGCAAAGCTTTCTCCCATTAAGAAACTTTTTACATAATAAAATTCAGGGAGAAAATAGTCAAAGGCATACTCAGTAAACCTTGCCAGTAGGGCTGAAAATCTGTTTCCCAATTGAAAAACCACAGCCAGATATCATGTATAAAGGAAAGTCATTCTTAGTAATCTTACTCTCCCTTTACTATTGTTTTTAAATAGATGACTGAACATTACTGAGAGAATAAGCTCAAAAGAAAAAGACAGAAAATGTTGAATATGTTTGAAGTCTTTAACCCTTATAAAATAAAAATATCCAGTCATCTTCACTACAGGAAGGAAACTAGTAACATACATCTTTGGGAGTAGAACACACCTCGCCTTCCTTTTCCTAAATATTCCCTTCTGGCTCAATTAGCTGATAGAGGAGAGCTATTTCACCCTTGGAATCCTAACAAAGGGCCATGGGAAGGGCAGCAGTGCTCCAGTCCTTGTTGGGTCCACCCTTGGATCTTGTTCAGGGATTAGGGGTGTCACAATTAATTCATTCATAACATATAAAGCTCCAAAGTTTCTACATTTTTAATTGAGCTAAAGTAATTTAATTTTTTCCTAAAATAATATCATTTTCACTCCCTTGTACTCTGTTATGCTTTCTCAGTAGCACAAGAAGGAATTAGAGTTACAGTTAGTCCTGAGAATTGAGGAAAACCCTGGTTCTGACTATAGGACAACATCAGACACATGAAGGCCACCCATCATCGTCACAAGGGAACAACACGGAACAGATACCTCAGGGAATTCCTGATGATTTAGTTACCCACCTTTCCCCGCTTTGCCTCTTGATATCTCTGAGCTCTAAGGGTGGAGAAAAGGGAAAGAGATAAGGGTCAGTGCTTCCCTCCGAAGGAAAGTCCTGAGAAAGCAGTGCACAGCCATTGAAGGTCCGAGGCCATTCACTCTGTACAACACACTGATAAAAAACAAACCAGTGAAAAATAAAGTCTAGTTAACTCAGGCAAATGCTTTTGAAAAAGTCCAATTCAAGCTCTTAACTATCAAATGTTAACTAACTAGGAGGCAATTGCTCTACCAACAGTGAGCTGGCTTCCATTTGCTTTCCCTGGCTTCAGATTTCTCTTCAAAGAGACATATTAAACCACGCACTGATATTTTTCAACCTGGCAGGAAATGTGCCAGCTGCACCAGCCATTGGAAAGGGAAGACTATTATCCCAATTGCCAATTTTAACCAACCCAGTAAGTAAATAGCCTGGGCCTAATCTTTACAGGCAGTTAAACTGTGCAGTGCTTGATAAATACTCCTGGGTGGCTGTGTTAAAGCAAAACAAAGAATACTGCTTAATAACAAGACAGCTGTAAAAATTAACGTTAGATCCCAGAGGAGATAGGAGTTTCCGGATCACAGAAGCTGTCTGTGACAAGAGAGATACCTATTACAAAAGAGTGATGGTTATTAAAAGAACAATAAGCCACTGCAGCTACATTTAAGGCATTCTACAATCAATTTTAAGATAAGTAACATTGCCTGAAGTTAAGTACAAAAGATAACAAAATACAAACCCCATCCAAATGTAACAAAGCCTTGCAATTAACTTCTCATTACCAGAAAAAAACGTTGTATAAAATGGCTATTGAAGAAGGATATTGGTCCAGGAAGGCAATAGTGGAGTTTGGTGGGTCAGACCTTGAGTTTTCTACAAAACGTATAGCCTCTTTTTTCCAGTGTAAAAATCCTTGCCAGAAGCAGGAAAAATCTATATGCTAATCATATTTCCAATTGAGCTCAAACTGAAGGAAGTTAAGAGGAGAGCACAAATGACTCAGAGGGCAAAGAGACTGACGTACAAAAAGAAATGATTAAAAGATTCTCAAATGGCCAGCTCTGCTGAGTGGCGACCGAGAGGAGACGTGATTGTCATTGGAAAGTGTTCACAGAGTAAACAACAGTCAGAGTCATTACTGGGCTGAGTTGAAGGACTAAATTGGGGTAAAATTAAGGACAGAGAGATTTAAACTGAATGTCGGTGATGAGAAGGGCTGCCAGATAGTGAAACATCTCCCCAGGGTTAACCGTGAGACATCCTCTCAGAAAGCTTTTAAAAGTCAGGCTCTAGCATGAACCAAAGGAGCATTTTTCCAATCCAAAGGAATGAAAAAAAAAAAATCCCTCCTTAAAGAGCAGGATTATATTTTGGGAGAGGGGCAGGAATAATTATCTAAGGTTTTTCCTAGAGAAGGAAAAGGCTGTGGTGGGAATCAACAAGGGAAGCTCATTTTAGAGGAGGTGGGGAAGAAAGCAGGAAGCATGAAAAAGGGAAGGTCACCAGCCAGCAGAAAAGAGGTAGGAAGCAACACCCTGTCTAGACTCCAGAAAAACAACGACAGAACCATGACTGGCACACACTTCTGCAGTGGTTTTGTGCTGAAAGTGATGGCACAGGCATCTCCCTGAGCTCATCAGCACGACGTGGTTTTTCCTAGCAGTAGCCTCAACAGTTGGTGATAACCTACCATATAAATTCCTTGTGTCCTTAAGCTAAGAAATAATTCTCTAAAAACCATAGAAAGCTAGTCTTTGTAGTATTTCCTATTTTTAACTAATGGTACTTAACAGAGTAGTGGTTTAGAATACAAGCTTGGCATCAAGCGGATCTGGGTTCAAATTTCAGCCCTATTTACTGTGCGATTATTGGCCCACAATATAGCCTTTCAATGACCCAAATTGTCAGCTGAAAATGGGGTGATAATATGTACTTTTAGCAGTCAGTGTTCTTGGTTGCAAGAATTACACTGGAAAACTTCAGCAGAGGAGGAATTTATTGGAAGGATATTAGAAAGCTCATAGAATCAATAGTAGAGATGAGAAAAATGGGTGGGAATTAAGGGAGGTAGAGCGCACTGAGCCATGGGCAAGGTTATGCCACAGAAACTGCCTGGTTAGGGTGCCACTGTATGAATTGCTGCTCCCACACACTATCAGACTCTGCTGCCACTGAACACTGGATGCTGTTCCCATCCCCTCTGTGTCATCATCACGAAGTGAATTCTAAAAGATCGCTGCATTTTGTTTATCTTACTTAAGATTCTCATTCAACACTGGGAGCACCTGACTGGCCAAGCCTCAGCCACAATGCCTGTAGCATAGCTGCCAGGGGAACAGAGAAAAGGGAGTAGCTGATCCTTTGTATCTTTAGTGGAAGGCAGGATGCAGTGTCCCATGGAGATTCACAAAGTGCATGTTTTCCTCCATATAAGAAAGAGGTTCAGGCCAGACGAGGTGGCTCAGGCCTGTAATCCCAGCACTTTGGGAGGCCAAGGCCGGCAGATCACGAAGTCAGGAGATCGAGACCATCCTGGGTAACACGGTGAAACCCCGTGTCTACTAAAAATACAAAAAAAAAAAAAATTAGCCGGGAGTGGTGGCGGGTGCCTGTAGTCCCAGCTGCTGGGGAGAATGAAGCAGGAGAATGGCATGAACCCGGGAGGCGGAGCTTGCAGTGAGCCAAGATTGCGCCACGCACTCCAGCCTGGGAGACAGAACAAGACTCTGTCTCAAAAAAGGAAAAAGAAAGAGGTTCCAACACTGGAAAGCCAAAAAAAAAAAAAGACAAACATCTTTACTAGTTCACCTCTATGTCTGCCCAACTTTGCCTACATCCTTCTTCCCCTAATTAAACTTCCAAAAAATGTTCACACCTAACAAAACACAATGACCCTTATATGCCAAATAACCCTCTCCCAAACAGAAAACAAGACATCAGTTCTCACACCAACTGGAACCCAGGCTGTCTGAATGATGTTAATCCCTCTAAGTTATATAACAATCTCACCTTGATATCCACCAACCAATGAACCAAATTGTGACATGAGTAACTCTACCTTACGGTTTTGGAAAGAGAGAGGAAATAAAAACAGCAAACATGCAAGTATCTGTCTAACCCATATCTATCAGGTTCTGAGCTCAGAAAGTAAGAGGTCAGATAGGAGATGTTATTTATACATTTGACAGCAAAGAAGGAAGTACAGATAGGAAGAAAATCAGTGGTCATTATATCTATAATTGGTCACTAGGCCATAGCTACAATTTTATTTCCTCTTTCGTAGCCCCTTTGCTGCTCAGAGTTCTTTTCCTAGTAAGGCCACCCGAATCTTTATTTCTGAGAGATATAGGTCCTTTGGGGGGTTCTGCCTATATAGAATTGCAGTAGCCCTCCCTATTCAGTGTCACCTCTGGTTGCAGTAGAAGAAAATACCTCAGAATATGCCCCCATTGTCACAACAGAAGCCAATTTTCACTTTGAAGCTCAGGATCAGTGACCAAAACCAACTCCAAAGTCCTCTATTCCAATGGCATAAGGAGACCAAAATGGTCATGTTGTAGTTTCCAATTCAGTAGAACCATTGTTCTGTTTCCTGGAAGACACACCCATCCCTTGAGTAGTTAAGGTTCTAGCCAATAGCAGCCAAGGTCAAAAGCCTAGAAGCAAAAATTTCAGATTGGTCATTACGTATAATTATTTCTATTCCTTGGTTCCAAGATACCTGTATTCAAACTGGATGAAGCATCATAAGTTAGCCTAAGAAAATACAGTTAATATCAGCTGTATACAGCACCTTGAAAAATGTTATATCCCAGCTGATATTATAAATAAGTCTTTAACACACATTTCAACAAAGTCAGCTACTTTTGAGTGATGGGAAACATGTGAAGACCAACAAATAACTGAGTATAAACCCATTACCTTCCTTGATTCACTACAAAGTGAATTCTTGGTCAGAAACAAAATTGTGTGGGATAGTGGTAAAATTCATGATTATCAGAAACCAAATCACTAGCCAAACCATTACCCATTGATCATAATACGTATAAATCCTTACATCATGCTGCACTTTTTTCCAGACTTCATGGCTAGTCGATAGATACTGTTCAGAGTTCTTCCCGCTGGAAGGACTTGCCTTCATCACTCTTTCAGGATCAGGCTGAGTGGGGCTGTCCTTGCACTACACTTCACACCTGGCTTATGCCAGCTAGGGGTTCAGAGTGCCAAGTCAAGCTCAAAGCGTTCCCTCATTAAAATAGTCATAGAGAATCACCATTAGGCCATACACGTTTGCTCAGTTGCAAAATGGGTTTTACTAGATTGTCAGATTGAAATGGAATATGCTTTTGAATCATTTAGTCCAGAGTCTGACATGTAATAAATATACCCAAGTGCAAATAATTATGATTGTCAAAGTAATTTTTAGGTAAGAGCCAAAGTGTTTAGATAAGGAAATGAAATCAAATATAGGTTTTCCTGAGTCTACGTATTTAATAAATAAGAGTAGTCAACACATAGATTAATAGATACATATTTAGCATCCTGTTATTACTGAAGTTATGTATTTTAAAGCCAATTAATTGACGCACACTCTCATTCTTTAATAAATTACCAAAGGAAAATAATACAGGTCTATGATATCAACTAAAAGGAAAAAATTCTAATCATTTCTGGTTACTATGAGGCTTACATAAAACATCGTGTAACTATAACAGGTTATTTTAAGAAGATAACAACTTAACGTTGATTACATAAAATAACACTACACTTTTACTCCCCCCACACACATTTCATGTGGGTTTTGTTTTTTTATTTTTATTTCAATAGTTTTGGGGAACAGGTGGTGTCTGTTTGGATGGAAAAGTTCTTTAGTGGGTGATTTCTGAGATTTTGCTGCATCCATCACCCGAGCAGTACACACTGTACCCAATGTGTAGTCTTTTATTCCTCACCTCCCTCCCACCCTTCCCCCCAAGTGCCCAAAGTCCATTATATCATTCTTATGCCTTTATGTCCTCATAGCTTAGCTTCCACATATAAGTGAAAACAGACGATGTTTGGTTTTCCATTCCTGAGTTACTTCACTTAGAATAATGGTCTCCAACTCCATCCAGGTTGCTGCAAATGCCATAGTTTAATTCCTTTTCATGACAGAGTAGTATTCCATGGTGTATGTGTCCGTGTGTGTGTGTGTGTGTGTGTGTCTGTGTGTATCACAGTTTCTTCATCCACTCAGTCGATGAGCATTTAGGGTGGTTTCATTTTTTGCAATTGCAAATTGTGCTGCTATAAACATGCATGTGCAAGTGTCTTTTTTATATAATGACTTCTTTTCCTGTAGGAAGATACCTATTCGTGGGATTGCTGGATCGAATGATAGTTCTATTTTTAGTTTTTGGGGAATTTCCATACTGTTTTCCATAGTGGTTTTTACTAGTTTGCATTCCCACCAGCAGTGTAAAAGTGTTCCCTTTTCACCACATCCATGCCAACATCTATTTTTTTTTTTGATTTATTGATTATGACCATTCTTGCAGGAGTAACGTGGTGTCTCATTGTGGTTTTGATTTGAAATTCCCTGATAATTAGTGATGTTGAGTATTGTTTCACAGGTTTCTTGGCCATTTGTGTATCTTCTTTTGAGCATTGTCTATTCATGTCCTTTGCCCACTTTCTGATGGGATTGTTTTTTGGTTTTTATTTTTTTTGTTTTTGTTTTTGTTTTGCTGATTTGCATGAGTTCCTTGTAGATTCTAGATATTAGTCCTCTGTCAGATGCATAGTTTGTGAAGATTTTCTCCCATTCTGCGGGTTGTCTGTTTACCTTATTGATTATTACTTTCGTTGTGCAGAAGCTTTTTAGTTTAATTAGGTCCCATGTATTTATCTTTGTTTTTGTTGCATTTGCTTTTGGGTTCGTGGTCATGAACTCTTTGCCTAAGCCAATGTCTAGAAGAGTTTTTATGATGTTATCTTCTAGATTGTTATGGTTTCAGATATTAGATTTAAGTCTTTCATCTATCTTGTGTTGATTTTTGTATAAGGTGAGAGATGAGGATCCAGCTTTGTTCTTCTACATGTGGTTGGCCAATTATGCTAGCACCTTTTGTTGAAAAGGGTATCCTTTCCCTACTTAGTGTTTTTGTTTGCTTTGTCAAAGATCAGTTGGCTATAATTATCTGGTTTTATTTCTGGGTTCTCTATTCTGTTCCATTGGTCTGTGTACCTATTTTTACACCAGTACCAAACTATAGTATAGCCTTGTAGTATAGTTTGAAGTCAGGTAATGTGATGCCTCCAGACTTGTTCTTTTTGCTTAGTCTTTGATATGGTTTGGCTGTGTCCCCACCCAAATCTCATCTTGAATTGTAGCTCCTATAATTCCCATGTGTTGTGGTGGGGACCAGTGGGAGATAATTGAATCATGGGGATGGTTCCCCCATAGTGTTCTCATGGTAGTGAATAAGTCTCACGAGGTCTGATGGCTTTATAAGGTGAAATCCCTTCCACTTGGCTGTCACTTCTCTCTTGTCTGCCACAATGTAAGACATGCCTTTCACCTTCCACCATGATTGTGAGGCCTCCCCAGTCACATGGAACAGTGAGTCCATTAAACTTCTTTCTGTTTATAAATTACCCTGTCTCGGATATGTCTTTATAAGCAACATAAAAATGGACTAATACAGTCTTGTTTTGCCCACGCACGCTCTTTTTTTGGTTCCACATAAATGTTAGGATTATTTTTTCTAGTTCTGTGAAGAATGATGATGGTATTTTGATGGGAATTGCATTGAATTTGTAGATTGCTTTTGGCAGTATGGT